AAATTTTAAATATCTTATAGCTTATTTCAGTCCGATAATCACTCATTAGAAAATATGGTGTCATATGAGTAAGATGTTTATCTCGTTCGTGTAATCTTATTAAATCCAACAGCTTATATAATATATTTTGTGTTGCAATGTAATATATTTTATATTTATACGCATAAATTGTTCGAAACAACAAGAACAAAATAAATAACGGATATTATCGCATATTTTTAATTCGTACAAAGATGTAGCTTCTAAATCTGATAAAAATTGTGATAAGAGACTAAGCACAGAGCTTCTTTAAAATCTTTACGCTAATAATGTCATTTTATCTATTCATAATCATATAAAGATAAAGTAAATTTGTCATGTGACGTTAAATAAGTCCATCTGTGCAATGGAAATATTACAAGACGCGCAGTTATATTTCATCTCAATTTCAATCAGCATCAATTCTTTTATCACTGCATTACTTTCAAATCAATTCACGGAATGTGAATAATTTTGTAATGTGAAATACGATTCAAAATCGCGTCACTTATAAGATGATTATTCAAAATTTAATAAGAAAATTTTTAATGGTGTAACTAATATTGTAAAATTGATGTGTACTACGCATTCCGAAATTAAATATCTACATTTATTGAAAAAATAATTTGAGAAAAGTGCAGGATTTAAATTTTTTTAACTTAAATAGATATATATCAAAGTTATATTTAACGGAATTTATTTTACAAAAGAGTGAAAATAATAATGGAAGATAAAAGCCAAAATGAGATATTAACAATAAAAGATCCAACAAAAATAACAAAGTCTGGCGAATCAACCGACGTCGAACCATTAAAATTGAAAGTATATAAAAAAAGGTGGCTAATGCTGATCATCTACACAATTTATGCTGGAACGAATGCCTCTCAATGGATAGAATACTCAATTATAACCAACATAATTACTAGGTATCATATTTTCTTCAAAATATAAACAATTTTGAATGTAAAAATGTCAATGCCCTTTGTGTGTATTATTTAGGTACTATGGAGTGTCTTCAATGATGGTTCACTGGACCTCAATGTCGTTCCTGGCATTTTACGCGACGTTTATATTTCCAGCATCGTACGTGACAGACAAGTGCGGTCTGCGATGGACCATCATCATAGGCGCCGGTCTTAATTGTCTTGGTTCCTGGATAAAAACATTATCTATTCAACCCGATCTATTCTATCTTACTTTTATTGGTCATTCGATAGTTGCACTCGCGCAGGTTACATCTCTTAATTCATTTCATTAATCTCTAAAAATCTTGATACTGCTACAACTTTTTCCCTGCTCCTTTTTATATTACTATTCTAAATTCTCTGAATTTATTTATAGAGTAGAAATTACTTCATTTTATATTAGACTATGGTCCTGCCGTTACCAGGACGTTTGGCCGCACAATGGTTTCCTCCTAATCAACTCTCGACTGCCACATCTTTGGGTATTTTTGGTACTCAATTGGGAGTAGCATTGGGTTTTCTTTTAGGACCTATTATAGTGAAAAATCACAAGAATCTGGATGACATTGGCAAAGATTTGACATGTTTATGCTGGATAGTTGCAATCGTCTGTACAATTGCATTCGGTCTTGTGCTTACATGTAAGTTTAACATCTATTACTAATAGAACAAGTAATAGTTTGCTAGTATAAGCAATTAATTCTCATCTAAAATAGAAAAGATCTGAGCTCTAATATGAAAAATGTTTTTGTAATTTCTTTATACTTTCCCAACATAGGTGACCATTTATTAACTTAATAAAATAATAAAAGGTCGCGAAATATATATATTATATATTTGAATTACATATTAATATAAAATTTACATTTTTGCGTACGCAATGTGTTAACTTTTTGTAAATGAGGTTTGAATGTGTTCTTTAGACAATCATTCATAATTGATATCCATCAAGAGGTAAATCGATGACCAAAATTGTGTACACCAATGCCTACAGTGCTTAGTAATGCTCAAGTAATGTCCAAGTAATGCCGAAATTTTATGCCCACTAATGTCCTAGTGATACTCACTAAAGCCCACAAATATCTTAGTAATGCCCATTAATGCCTTAGTAAAATAATAGTATCGCTTATAATAATACATAATTCTGTTAAGTAATGTCCAGTAATGCTCAGTAATGCGCCAAATTTGTACACCGTAATGCGCTCCTTGGTATCCGTTAAACTGAAATATTCCCTTACAAATATCAATTAAAAAAAATTTGTTCAATCTATATCTATTAAATTTTTACAAATATTTCAATACAGTCGATAATCCATTTTAATCACTTTATCTCAATCCCTTTATATGGATTTTTATTTTTATTTATCCTAAATAACTATAGACTAAGAAGAGAAGAAGAAGAAAAATAAATTGCTAAATAATTAAAGATCGCTCACACCCCAGTAAAGATTATCGCATTTTAATCTTCTCAATGTGCTTCCAGTATTTCAGAACGAACCCAAACTACCACCGAGTGAAACGCGAGCACTGCAAAAAATAAATCGAATGAAGAAAAGAGAAGAATTCATGGGGCCGATTAAAAGGCTGTGCAGAAACAAAAACTACATCATGCTCTGTAATTCCTACGGTTTGAACGTCGGCGTGTTAAATGCTGTGTCTACATTGCTGAATCAGATATTCCTCGCACATTTTGAGGTGAGCAAATAAATCTCGATGCAGCAGATCAAACATAAAATGAGAGAAATTCAAACAAATATTTGTAAATTCATGTCAGCAACATCTAAAAATATTTTCATATATTTTTGCAAATGTATATATAAAGGTAACATATATAATCGCTCATGTATTTTAGAATGGAGAAGAAGATGCAGGCAGAATTGGTTTAGCCATAATTCTCACTGGTATGGCCGGTTCCATTAGTTTTGGTATTATCCTTGATAAAACGCATAAATTCAAGTAAGAAAAACATTTGCAATTGTCATAAAAATCTAATTTAAATTTACTTTATCATAAATCAATTGAAACATAATTTCATATAATAATTTAGATATATTTTTCAATTTTCAGACAAACTGCCGTGACAGTATATTTTCTTACACTTTGTGGTCAAATATTATTTGCGGTGTTTACTTACATGGGTATAAAATGGATGGTATATGTATCGGCGATTTTCTTAGGGTAAAATATCGATATTCAAATTTGTACCCATATTAAAATTATTAATGCTTTAGAAATTATTATGTAATTACGTAAAATAACAGAAGTTCATTTTTTAATGATTTAGTAAACTATAATTGTTCTCACTATTTTTATTAACAATTAAGGTTCTCTTTTTTCAATGCACATCAATCAAATTGTAATATAAAGCAATGTACATTTTTATCATATTTATTTAGAGTTTTATATATTTATTAAATTACCTCTTTATTACATTTTATTTGAAATATTTTAAACATTATCTGTCGACAATCTTAGGCGACATCTTTTATATTCTATTATTCGTTACAGATACTTTATGTCAGGATATCTGGCAATGGGATATGATTTGTGCACCGAATATACGTATCCAGAGTCGGAAAATATATCTGCAGGACTTCTCAACATAACAACCAGTATTTACGGCATTATACTCATTATATCGTTAGAATCATTAATGAGCACGTATGGGGACATTCTAGTGCACATTGGATTATGCTTGGCTTTGTTGCTCGGTTTCATTTTGACCGCTATAACAAAAGATGAGCAGAGACGACAAGACGCAAGAAAGAAGGCTCAATATGAAAGAATCGCAAGAATTGAAATGAACGTCAATGGCATTCCAGAAACGAATCAACTTACTTAATTATCACAAATAATCTTATTAAATCTTTTAATACTATAATAGATTTCAAATCCAAATATGATTTTATTCATGTTCTAATTTTTATCAATCTTTCATCTTCTAAATAATATATTATCTACAATGTGACTAAAAAAATTAATCTCACATTCCGTGCGCAGATAATAATCACATTGCTTTTTAAGAGAACTGTATGTGAAATCCTTTTTATTTACAAAAGAAATTCTTGCCAATAATATGGCTTTGATATTTCCTCTTCTATAAAAAGGAAATAGATTTCTCCAACAAGGTTAACAGTATGGCAGAAAAAAGAATACCATATAATATCATTAACAAAATAATCAACGAGCACGTCATTGCATTGCATATCATTGAATGATATATAAAGAATTTTTTTCTTAATATTTTCTATTGCTTGAACAGAAATACAATAACACATTTTTTTATATCGCAATGCAATTTATATTTACACTACACGTGTGAATTGTTCGTAACAATAGAAATAAAATAAATATTAGGTGTTGGAATTAATTCGTAGCGTTTTACAAGTGATGGGAAATACTTTCATTAATGTATTTTTTAATGCTCATGTGAAATAAATAACATTCTTTCATTAAAAAACGCTATGAATTAATTCCAACACCTAATAACTGATATTATCGCACAGTTATTTTAAAATCGTACAAAAATATAGCTTCTGACTCTGATAAATATCGTGATAAGAAACTAAGCACAGATCTTTTTAAATCTTTAAGCTAATAATGTCATTTTATCTGTTCATGTATAGATAAGGTAAATTTGTCATGTGACATTAAACAAGTCTATCTGTGCAATGGAAATATTACAAGACTCGCAGTTATATTGCAAGTTATCTTTCAATTAGTATCAATCCTTTTATCATTGCGTCACTTCAACTCAATTCACGAAATATGAAAAATTGTATACCATGAAATACGATTTTAAATCGCATCGTTTATAAGATGGTTATTCAAGATTTAATAAGGAAATCTTTGACAGTGTCATTAAAATTGTATAATTTGTATATTACGCATTCCGAAATTAAATATTTATTGAAAAAATAATTTGAGAAAAGTGTAGGATTTAAATTTTTTTAACTTAAATAGCTATACATCAAAGTTATATTTAACGGAATTTGTTTAACAAAAGAGTGAAAATAATAATGGAAGATAAAAGTCAAAACGAGATATTAACAATAAAAGATCCAACAAAAATAACAAAGTCTGGCGACGTCGAACCATTAAAGTTGAAAGTATATAAAAAAAGGTGGCTAATGCTCGTCATCTATATGATTTATAATGGAACGAATTCTTCTCAATGGATAGAATACTCGATTATAAACAACGTAGTTACTAGGTACCATATTTTCCTCAAAATAAGAACAATTTTGTAAAAGTGTCAATGCCCTTTATGTGTATTATTTAGATATTATGGAGTGTCTTCGATAATGGTTGACTGGACCTCGATGTTATTTTTGGCAATTTACGCGGTGTTCATCTTTCCAGCGTCATACGTGACAGATAAGTGTGGTCTGCGATGGACCATCATTATAGGCACCAGTCTTAACTGTCTTGGTTCCTGGATAAAAATATTGTCCGTTCAACCTGATAGGTTCTACGTTGTTTTCATTGGTCATTCGATAGTCGCACTCGCGCAGGTGACATCTCTTAAATAATTTGGTTAATCTCCAAAATCTTAATCTTGTTATCATTACAACTTTTACCTCCTTCTTATAATTATATTGTTACTCTATATTCTTTGTCATATTTATTTAGAAAATATTAATTAGTTCATTTTATATATTAGACTTTGGTGCTGCCGTTACCTGGACGTTTGGCCGCGCAATGGTTTCCTTCAACCCAACTCTCAACTGCCACATCTTTAGGTATTTTTGGCAATCAAGTGGGAATAGCATTGGGTTTTCTTTTAGGGCCCGTAATAGTAAAAAATCACAACAATCTGGATGACATCGGCAAAGATTTGTCACGTTTATGCTGGATAGTCGCAATCGTCGGCACAATTGTACTTGTTCTTGTGCTTACATGTAAGTTTAACTATCTTTATCTATTAGAGGAAAGTCACCGATATCGATATATCACTTTGTTTTTAGACAATATTTCTTAAACAAAAGGTAAAAATAAAACTTTAAAAACATAAGTACAAACTAAAAAGTGTCATCTATGAGGTAGTATAAGCAGTTTTTTTAATACTGTTTGCAATTTTGCAATAATTAATTTTTTCGAAAGATAAGCAAAAATGAGCGTTTGACAAAATAGGCTTCAAAACTGACACAGTAGGCAGTAATGCTATGTATTCCTATTTTTTTTCTTTTATAGGAATTATCTGTTAAAATATGTATAAGTGAATATATATAAGATATTTCAGAATCTTTTCACTCTTCGTTATAAAACATTTTTATTGAAATACATGTATATTTATATGTTATTCTGCAAGATGCAAATATGTAACGTGATAGTTTTTCAAGAGTTTTTCCATATATGCACGTATGTCTTCAGCTCCAATAGAGCTATTTGATACTATAAAGCAACATTATAAAGGTTAAGTTAACTCATAAGAAGTGTTCATGTTTTACAGACAGATGTGACGGTTTATGCTGTACCCCAATTTTAATTTGAAAATCGTATTATGAAAAAACTAAAAAAAAAATAATATAAATAAAACTAATTTAGGAAATTACAAGCATTTAAAATGACATAATATTATCAATAATATAGTCATTATTATTTAAACTACGCAATTTGCAAAAAAAAATCGTAAGAATTTTATTTTCGCATTCGTAGAATTCGTTTTTAGCTTATTTGATATAGAAACAAGCCACAAATACACGAATTATGAGTTTATACTTCTTTAATTACCTAAACAGGTCATAATTTTATTAATAGTATTAATAAAATATGCTAAAGTTAGTTTCAGAGAAATAAGGGGGTGTCACTTTAGGAGACCTATGTCAGTATCGGTGACTTTCCTCTTCTAATAGAACAAATACTTGTAGTTTGCTAGTAATTACTTCTTATCTAAAATGAACGAGATCTGAGCTGATATAAAAAATATTTTTGTAGTTTCTTTATACTTTTCCACAAATAAGTTCTTTAATTTTAATTTAATAAAATAATAAAGAATCAAAATTATATTTACGAATTACATATATTAATATAAAATTTATTTTATTTTTGTATACGTAATGTGTTCACTTTTTGAACTACTTCACTAACTGAAATTTGAATGGGTCTTTTAGACAATCATTCATAATCAGTAACCGTTAACCCGAAATATTCCCTTATAAGTACCAAAATAAATTAAAATAGCTATCCTTCAATATATCTATCAAATTTTTAACGTAAACCAATATTCCAGTACAGTCGATAATCTACTTTAATCTTAGACCCTTTATCTTGATTTTTATTTATATTTATCTAGGTATCCATACACAAGGAGAAGAGAAGAGGAAGAATAAACCATTAAAAATTAAAGAGATAACTCACACCCCCAAGAAAGATTATCATAATTTAATCGTCTCAATATGCTTTCGATTATCAGTATTTCAGAACGAACCCGAACTACCACCGAGTGAGACGCGAGCACTGCAAAAAATGAATCGGAAGGAGAAGAAAGAGGAATTCGTGGAGCCGATTAAAAGACTTTGCAGAAATAAAAACTACATCATGCTTTGTAATTCCTATGGTTTGAATATCGGTGTGTTAAATGCTGTGTCTACATTGCTGAATCAGATATTCCTTGCACATTTTGAGGTAAGCAAATAAATCTCAATGTAGCATAAAATGCGAGAAATTCGAACAAATATTTCTAAATTTATGTCAACAACTGAAAATATTTTTATATATTTTTGCAAATATATCTAAAGGGCAAGATATATTTACGATCGCATGAGTTTTAGAATGGAGAAGAAGATGCAGGCAGAATTGGCTTAGCCTTAACTCTCACCGGTATGGCTGGTTCTGTTAGTTTTGGTATTATCCTTGATAAAACGCATAAATTCAAGTAAGAAATACATTTGCAATTCTTATAAAAATTTAAATTTATTTTATCATAAATCATGCATTTGAAACATAATTTCATATAATAATTTAGATATATTTTCAATTTTCAGACAAACTGCCGTGACAGTATATTTTCTTACACTTTGTGGCCAAATATTATTTGCGGTGTTTACTTGCATGGGTATAAAATGGATGGTATACGTGTCGGCGACTTTCTTAGGGTAACATATTGATATTCAAATTTGTGCTCATATTAAAAATATTAATGCTTCAAAAATGTATTACGACAATTACGTAATTACGAAAAACAATAGAAGTTCATTTTTTAACAATTTAATAAATTGTAATTGTTGTTCTTACTGTTTTTATTAATGTTGAAGTTCTCTTTTCAATGCATATCAATCAAATTGTGATAAAGCAATTGTAGAGTTTTATCATATTTATTTGGTTCTTTTTAATACATTCTATTTATTTTAAATATTATGTATCAAAAATCTTAGTTAATATCTATTACATTTTATTATTCGTTACAGATACTTTATGTCAGGATATGTAGCTATGGGATATGATTTATGCACCGAATATACGTATCCAGAGTCGGAAAATATACCTGCGGGATTTCTTTACGTAACATCCAACATTTATGGCATTATACTCATTATATCGTTAGAATTATTAATGAACACGTATGGCGACATTCCGGTGCACATCGGATTATGCTTGGCTTTGTTATTCGGTTTCATTTTGACCGCTATAACAAAAGACGAGCAGAGACGACAAGATGCGAGGAAAAAGGTTCAATACGAAGAAATCGCGAGAATTGAAAAGAACGATGGCGTTCCAGAAACGAATAAATTTATTTATAACATTACTTAATTGTCACAAATAATTTTATTAAATCTTTCAATACTAATCAATTTTGAAATCATTATGATCTTATTCATGTGCTAATTTTTATCGATGTTTCACCTTCTTATATCATTAACGAAATAATCAAGAAAATCTTGCGTAACATTGAAATTAAACACATAAAAATTCTCCTTTTTTAAAAATTATTAATCAATTTTTTTTGTCTTCACTTTTACTTAATTATTCTTCTTATTTTGGTATAATATTTCGTTTCACGTATTGAGAGGTAAACTGTTTGTAACTATAATTACATACAATATTATTATAATTATGATTAGAATTACTATAATGTGTTAGTAATAATAATTATATGTATAATTTTATACATATAGTTAAATATTATGTACTTATTGAAAAAATATTTTAAGAAAAGTGTATAATTGAAAATTCTTTCAATTTAAATAAACATACATCAAAGATATAGTTTACAAAATTTACTTATTTTGCAAAAGAGTAAAAATGACAATGATGGAAGATAAAAGCCAAAGCGAGGTACCCACAATAAAAAATGCAATAAAAATAATAAAGCCTGGCGAACTAACCGACGTCGAACCATTAAAATTGAAAGTGTATAAAAAAAGATGGCTAATACTAATCATCTATATGATTTATTCTGGATCAAATTTTTTTCAATTAATAGAATACTCAATTATAACCAATGTAGTTACTAGGTATCACATTTTCTTCAAAATATGAACAATTTTGAACGGAAAAGTTTCAATGCCCTTTTTTGTATCATTTAGATATTATGGAGTGTCTTCGGTGATGGTTAATTGGACCTTGATGTTGTACATGGTACTTTACGCGATGTTTATATTTCCAACGTCGTACATGATAGACAAGTGCGGTCTGCGGTGGACCACCATCATAGGTGCCGGTATTAATTGTCTGGGTGCCTGGATAAAAACGTTTTCCATTCAACCCGATAGATTTTACGTTGTTTTCATTGGTCAATCGATAGTCGCATTCGCGCACGTAACATCTCTTAAATTACTTGATTAATCTTTAAAAATCTAGATATCGTTATAACTTTTCCCCATTCTCCTTTTTATGGTTATATTATTGTATTACTCTATATTATATGTCATGTTTATTTTTTAGAGAGTAGTAATTAGTTCATTTTATATATTAGATTATGATCGTGCCATTACCAGGACGTTTGGCCGCGCAATGGTTTCCTCCTGCCCAAATCTCGACCGCCACGTCTTTGGATATTTTTGGCATTCAATTGGGAACAGCGTTGGGTTCTTTTTTAGGGCCTATAATAGTGAAAAATCACAACAATCTGGATGACATCGGCAAAGATTTGTCACGTTTATGCTGGATAGTCGCAATCGTCTGCACAACTGCATTCGTTTTTATGCTTACATGTAAGTTCATCATCTATTACTAATGGAACAAATAGTACTTTATCAATATAAATGTTTAAGTCTCACAAAAAATTAAACAGATCTGAACTGATATGAATAACATTTTCCTAGTTTATATTCTCCCACACATAGGAAATCATTCTTTAACTTAATAAAATAATGAAGAATCGAAATTATATGTTTGTATTGCACATATTAATATAAAATTTATATTTGTATGTACGCAATGTTAACTTTGGTAAATGAGATTTGAATTTGTCTTTTAGACAATCATTTATGAGTGATATTAAATCGAAACAATATCTTATAAATATTAATTTTTGAAAAACTGTCTTCCTCTTTAATATATCTATCAAATTATTAACGTACTTAAATTTTCTAATGACCATTTTTCGTTCCCTTTATCCGGGTATTTACTTTTATTTTTCACAGATACGCAGTGAACACAAGTTACATGTAACGTACCTATTAAATGTAATTTTCTCAATAATATAATTGTAATATAAAATACGTGTTACATTACAGTTATATTGTGGAGTGGGAATTACATCTAACAGGTACATTACATGTAACTTTGTATTCACTTGGTAACTACACACACAAGCAGAAGAGAAGAGGAAGAAGAACAATAAACCGCGAAATAATTAAAGATCCCTCACAGAAAGATTATCACGTTTTATTCTTCTCACTGTGCTTACATACCAGTATTTCAGAACGAACCGAAACTACCACCGAGCGAAACGCGGGCATTGCAAAAAATGAATCGGACGAAGAAAAGAGAGAAATTCATGGAGCCGATTAAAAGGCTCTACAGAAACAAAAACTTCATTTTGCTCTGTAATTCCTATGGTTTGAATATCGGCGTGTTCAGTGTTATATCTACATTACTCAATCAGATATTCCTCGCACACTTCGAGGTGAGCAAATGAATCTCGATGCGGCAGATTAAACATTATATATATAAAAAAAGAGAAATTTGAAAAAATAGTTATAAATTGATGTCAGCAATATCTAAATATATATTTATATATTTTTGTATACGTATCTAAAGACAAGATGTATGTATATGATACCAAATGTATTTTAGAATGGAGAAGAAGATGCAGGTAGAATTGGCTCAATCATAATTCTTATCGGTCTGGTCGGTTCTGTTAGTTTTGGTATCATCCTTGATAAAACGCATAAATACAAGTAAGAAAAATATTTGCAATTGTCTCAAAAAATTTAATTTTTCCCAATTATTTCCCAAATTATCTAATTTAATGTATAATTAATGTATATTTCATGTATATTTCATATATATTAGGTGTTGGAATTAATTCGTAGCGTTTTACAAGTGATGGGAAGTACTTTCATTAATGTATTTTTTAATGCTCATGTGAAATAAATAACATTCTTTCATTAAAAACGCTACGAATTAATTCCAACACCTAATATTTTTTTAATTTAATGTATATTTCTCTATGTAATTTAAATTTATTTTATCCTAAATTATGCGCGGAAATATTGACAACAATTTATATTTTCAGACAAACTGCCATGACTGTATATTTTCTTATATTTTGTGGTCAAATATTATTCACGGTGTTTACTTGCATGGGTATAAAATGGATGGTATACATGTTGGCGATTTTCTTAGGGTAACATACTGACATCCATATTTATGACCATATTAAAAATATTAATATTTCAAAAATGTATTATGTAAAATGATAAAAGTTAATCTTTTAACAATTTAGTAAAATATAATTGTTGCTCTCACACAGTGTTTTTAACATTTAAGATCTTTTTTTTCAATATATGTATATCAATATATGTATATCAAATAAATTGTGGAATTGTTATAAAAAAACAATTGCAGAGTTTAAAATCATATTCATTTAGGACTTTTTTATTACATTTTATGATATATTTTAAACGTTATCTGTCAAAAGTCTTAAGAGATTTATTACATTTTATTATACGTTATAGATACTTTATGTCGGGATATATGGCAATGGGATATGATTTGTACACCGAATATACGTATCCAGAGTCGGAAAATATATCTGCAGGACTTCTCAACATAACAACTAGTATTTACGGCATTATACTGATTACATCGTTAGGATTATTAATGAACATGTACGGCGACATTCCGGTGCACATCGGCTTATGCTTGGCTTTGCTACTCGGTTTCATTTTGACCGCTATAACAAAAGATGAGCAGAGACGACAAAACGCAAGAAAAAAAGCTCAATTTGAAGGAATCGCTAGAATTGAAAAGCAAACCGAAGGCGTTCCAGAAATGACTCAACTAACTTATAGTATTACTTAATTGTTACAAATAATCTTATTAAATGTTTCATAATGCTAATAAATTTTGAAACCAATATCGTTTTATTCATGTTCTAATTTTTATCAATTTTTTCTAAATAATATATTACAATAAAATGATTAAAAAGATTCATCTCACAATATGTGTGCGCAGATGAAAATTACATATTGCTTTTTAAAAAAATCGTATATTAAATCTTCTTTTTTTTACAAAAGGAACTCTTTGCCAACAAGTAATACCTTCATATTATCTCTATCATAAAACGGAATGAGATTTTTCCAAGAAGATTGACTTTACAATATGGTAGAAAAAAAGATTTAACGCCACATAGTAACGTTAACAAAATAATCAACGTTTCTTACATAACATTGAAATTAAAACTTGACAATTTCGTTTTAGAAATCGTTTTAAAAATTATAAATGGTCATCAATTCATTTTGACTTTTACTTAATTGTACTAACATTCTGTATAATATTTCATTTTACGCATTGAAAGACAAACTATTTGATGTTTGTAATTATAATTATTACTATAAATACAATTCTGATTGCCATAGTATAGGTCAGGTCTGTCCAATTTGAGCTCCGGAATCAACACGTGAAGTCATCGACGCAAAAAAATTCAGTAATAAAATAGTCATAAAATTGCAAGGACTGTAAAATGTTGATAAGCGTCACACACTCAATACTTTATAGTCCCCGAAATCTTACCTACATTGAATTTATTGCGTCGTTGGTTTTGGCTCTGAAGTTAAAATTGGATAAGCTTGATATTAGTAACACTAACTGTACGTATAATCCTATCAGCCAATATATGTAATTGGCAATCGAAAATTACTATAGTTATAGTTATTGTAAGCATAAAAATGGTTAAATTCACCATAAAAACAATTTAAATAGTTATAATTATACAGTCGTATTAGTATAATTTATATCAAACTTTTGTCTCTCAATTGCTTGAACAGAAATGCAATAGCATTTTATGTCGCAACGTAATGCATTTTATATTTACACTATACGTGTGTAAATTATTCAATACATCACAAGAATAAAATAAATAGCGCACAATATCGCACAGTTGTTTTAAAAACGAAAAAAAGTACTGCTTCTGATAAAAATGAATCTGATAAAAATCGTGATAAGACTAAGTATAAATCTTCTTAGATCTGTAAGCTAATAACATTACTTTATTTGTTCATGTATAGATAAGGTAAATTGTCGTGTGACATTAAACGAGTCCATCCGTGCAATAGAAATCTTATATGACTTGCAGTTACATTTCATCTCAATTTCAATCAATATCAATCTTTTTATCATTGTGTCATTTTCAAATCCGCGAAATGTGAACAATTTTGTAATTTTAAATACGGTTCTAAATCGCGCCACTTATATAAGATTATTATTCAAGATTTAATAAGGCAATCTTTGATAGTGTAATTAACGGTATGAAACTATACAATTTGATATATACTACACATTTCGGAAATGTTTTCGCACATATTGAAAACGAATTTCAAGCAAAGTATAGGATTAAAATTTTTCCAAACTTAAATAGATATACATCAAAGTTATACTTTACGGAATTTATTTTGCAAAAGAGTGAAAATAATAATGGGAGATAAAAGCCAAAGCGAAGTACTCACAAAAAAAGACCTAACAAAAATAATAGAGTCTGGCGAACCAACCGACGTCAAACAATTAAAATTAAAAGTGTACAAAAAAAGGTGGCTAATGTTAATTATCTTCATGATTTATGCTGGATCAAATTCTCAATGGATAGAATACTCAATTATAACCAACATAGTTATTAGGTATCATATTTTCCTCAAAATAAGAACAATTTTGAATGTAAAAGTGTCAATGCCCTTTTTTATGTACTATTTAGGTATTATGGAGTGTCTTCGATGATGGTTGACTGGACCTCGATGTCGTTCATGGCATTTTACATAGCGTTTATATTTCCAGCGTCGTACGTGACAGACAAATGCGGTTTGCGATGGACTATCACCATAGGCGCCGGTCTTAACTGTCTTGGTGCCTGGATAAAAACATTATCCATTCAACCCGATAGGTTCTACGTTGCTATCATCGGTCATTCAATAGTCGCTCTTGCGCAGGTTATATCTTTTAATTTACTTTATTAATCTCTATCAAAAATCTTGATATTATTATAACTTTTTCCTTTCCTCCCTTTTTATGATTAGATTATTACTCTGTATTCTCTACAATTTATGTAGAGAGTAGTAATTATTTCATTTTGTATCAGACTACAGTGCTACCGATACCAGGACGATTGGCCGCGCAATGGTTTCCTCCTGCCCAAATCTCGACCGCCACGTCTTTGAGTATTTTCGGCAATCAATTTGGAGTGGCGTTGTGTTTTCTTTTAGGTCCTATAATAGTGAAAAATCATGATAATTTGGATGATATCGGCAGAGATTTGTCACGTTTATGCTGGATGGTCGCAATCGTCTGCACAATTGCATTCGTTCTTGTGCTTACATGTAAGTTCATCATCTATTACTAACAGAACAAATAATAATTCGACAGTATAAGTGTTTAATTCTCATTTAAAATTTAAACAGATCTGAGCTGATACAAAAAATGTTTTCCTAATTTCTTTATACTCTCCCACACATGGGAAATCAATTTTTAACTTAATAAAATAATAAAGAACCAAAATTATGTATTTCTATTATATATATTAATATAAAATTTATACTTTTATGTATCCACGCAATGTGTTAACTTTGTTAAATGATATTTGAATGTGTCTTTTAGACAATCATTTATAATTGATGTCCTAAGTAACTTCTTCTAAATATTAATTGAAAAAAGCTATCCTTCAATATATCTATTTAATTTTTAATATACTTAAATTTTCCAATACAGCCTATAATCCACTTTAATCTCAATCCCTTTATCCGGGTTTTATTTTTATTTATTCCAGCTATATAATCACACACAAAGAGAGGAGAAGCGGAAGAAGGACGATAAACCGTTAATTAATTAAAGATCGCTCACACTCCAGGAAAAATTATCGCGTTTTAATCTTCTCAATGTGCTTTTGTATCAGTATTTCAGAACGAACCAAGACTACCGCCGAGCGAGACACGGGCATTGCAAAAAATGAATCGGATGAAGAAAAGAGAGGAATTCGTGGAGCCGATTAAAGGGCTTTGTAGAAACAAAAACTTTATCATGCTCTGTAATTCCTATGGTTTGAACGTTGGTGTATTTATTGCTGTATCTACTTTACTCAATCAGATATTCCTCGCACACTTCGAGGTGAACAACATCTAAAAACGTTTTCATATATTTTTGCAAATATATGTAAAAGTAAGATATATATGTATAATCGCTCATGTATTTTAGAATGGAGAAGAAGATGCAGGCAGAATTGGTTTAGCCATAATTCTCACTGGTATGGCCGGTTCTATTAGTTTTGGTATCATCCTTGATAAAACGCATAAATACAAGTAAGAAAAAAAGTTGCAAGTGTCTAAAAAATCTAATTAAAATTTGCTTTATCCTAAATCATGCGTTGGAAAAATCAAGAATAATTTATATTTTTTATTTTCAGACAAACTGCCATGACTGTATACTTTCTTACATTCTGTTGTCAAGTATTATTCGCGGTATTTATATGCATGGGTATAAAATCGATGGTGTACGTGTTGGCGATTTTTTTAGGGTAACATATCGACATTCATATTTATGCTACATTCATATTTATAAATTAAAAATATTATTATTTCAAAAATGTATTGTGTAAAAATGCAATAGAAGTTCATCTTTCAACAATTTAGTAAAATGAAATTATTGCTCTCACAGTTCTTACTATTATTTTAAGTTCTTTTTTCAATGCATATCAATCAAATTGTGATATAAAGCAATTATAAATTTTATCATATTTTTTTTTCTATTACATTTTATTTGATATATTTTAAACATCATCTGTCAAAAATCTTATAGATGTATGGATTACATTCTATTCGTTACAGATACTTTATGTCGGGTTATCTGACCATAGGATATGATTTGTGCACCGAATTTACATATCCAGAGTCGGAAAATTTGTCTGCGGGAATACTCAATATAACAACCAGCCTTTACAGCATGATACTCATTATATCATTAGGATTATTAATGAACACGTACGGCGACATTCCGGTGCACATCGGCTTATGCTTGGCTTTGCTGCTCGGTTTCATTTTGACCGCTATAACAAAAGATGAGCAGAGACGACAAGATGCAAGAAAGAAGGCTCAGTATGAAGGAATCGCGAGAATTGAAAATAATATGGATGGCGTTCCAGAAACTATTATCTAACTTATAGCATTACTTAATAGGCTTAGAACATACATAATGAAGGGCCATGACTCTAACCATGATGAAAGTACATTAGATGTGCTCATGCACATTTTATACATATATAAGAAGAATAGTATCCAGAAATTGCGCCATGTTGCCGCAGTTATTTGAAGTTGTCATTATGTTGCATTCTTTTCTTCGGAAATCGAAAAAAATATAAAATTCTGCATCCTTTTTTTCGAAAACTATTTGTACTTGACATATACTCATTTCCGCAATATGTCACTTCAAAGTTATCGCAATGTAAATGTTTAAAATGACCGCATCTCTGATTATACGCAGAATGGTACGAAATTCGTATCGAAAATAAGCACACCTAATATACTTCCACGATGGCTTCAACATCTATCTGTTCTTGTCTGAATGCTTCACCGTAGTAAGCATCGATTATTATTAGGTCTGTTCTCGTTGCTTGCACTTTTTCACTCAACATCTTCACTTTCTCTCTTTTTAACATCCAAATATATATCTATCCCATTTTAAATGCAAAAATATTTTGGGAATTTTAAACAACGCGAACAGACCTATTATGTAGTGTTAAGAGTGTTGTACTCTCGCCTTAGAACATATACACATGTATGTTCAAAACTCGCATATAAATCACGCGCAAACGCACAGCAAACAAGCTTTCAAACAAGGACAGATAGATGTTGGAGACACTTTTATTACATTGGTCAGATATGGCCTTTCACAATATGTATGTTCTAAGTTAATAGGCATAATATTAAATCGAATAATATTAAATCTTTCAATACTAATAAGAATAATAAATATCTAATCTGGTATAATTTTATTTATGTTCTAATTTTTATTAATATTTCACCTCCTAAATAATACATTAAATACAATAAATCGCTAAAAAATTAATCTCACATTATGTGAGATAAAAATTACACGTTGCTTTTTACGAGATTTTTACGTATATTAAATCTTTTTTTCTTTAAAAGGAACTTTTGCCAACATGTAATATAGCATACTTTCATATTGCCTCTACCATAAAATGGAACGAGATTACTCCAACAAGATTAACTTTACAGTATGGTAGAAAAAAAATTTAACTCCACATAGTATCTTTAACAAAATAAGCAATAAGAATCTTACATAACATTGAAATTAAAGCTTGATAATCCTTCTTCTTAAAAATTATGAATGATCATCAATTTGTCTTAATATTTATTTAACATTTTAGTATAATATTTCGTTTTATATTTGGTATTAATATTCCGCATGAAATAATTAATTTAAAATAGCAAGTGACCGTCACTGTAACAGATACGTCACTTTTAACATTTCCACAAATCTTTTGTTTGTTTTTATACAAACGTATAATACAAAAGTGACATAAATCATATATTGTAAAAAATGAGAATTATAAGTAAAATATGAACACAAAATAACAAATGATAAAATGGTCATATTTCAATAGAATTTAGAAATATATTTTTGAGCAATTTAAATATGAATAAAAATTCATATTAAATATAGTTAAACGGTGATAAAATATGTATAAATTTCTCATATTTTACTCAACGTTTAAAACATACGTCACATAAAGCTTAAAGCTTATCGGTAATCGTTAATCACGAAAGAAAAAATATATTTGTTATGTAAACATTATTTTCCCACTGTGAAGTAATATTTTCTCTGTCAGAATCTTTTTTTTCTCTTTATCGAATATCCTTATGCTAATTTTAATCTTTTAAATACTAAAAAGAATTCTATTTTATGGTGATTGTCTTCAAACATTTAGTCTAAAAATAATATAGGAACGCAAAAGTCATATGGATTCTGCGCACATATCGATGAATAAAAGATGCCATTTCGAGCGTTAACGCGAAATCTTTATCGACAAAGAGGAAGACAACCTCAGCGTTGTTTTTAGATATCACAAAGCCACGGAAATGAACGCCGCATAATACGCTGCATTTGACGTGTGACATGACGGACGCGCCTACCACTTGTTACTCGATCAGAATACTTGATATACTCAATCAGAGAACAAAAGTTCTCTCGACACGCGAACTATTATATCGCATGCTTTCGATCAATCCGACACTCATGTCGTCTGTCTGCGACAGCGTTGTAATCTCAATTTCGCGAGTCGCACGATAGCGCACCGCGCGCTCGTCTTTTCTATTTATCTTTCTTATCGTGCGAGAATACAAGAAAGTAAGTTGAACGTCAAAATTTTTCAGACAGAAATTATTTCCTTCCTCTTATTTGCAGTAAATATCTGCACGCAGATGTGCGCTAGCAGTAACTTTACGCGCAAACATTCCTAGATCTTAAAGGAATTTTGTGCATTTTTGTCAAAGGCTGCAAGATAAAAAGTCTCTGAATCTCTCTGTTTTATAATCAACAGGCTCGAAAAATTTGCACGAAGAAGTAAAAGAAATATTAGAAAAAGAGTCTAACATTAAGGAATTCTGGTTGAAAATGAACAAATTTTCTGATTGAATCTATTATAATTCTAGTTGAGATAATCCAAATTTTGATTGATATGCTCAGAATTTTGATTAAATCAAAGATTAAATTATTTATTATTCTTCTTGTGGTTTTTGTTTACTAAAAATTGAATCAAAAAAAGAATAATCGATTCCAGTTTCATATTGAGAAATTTCTCTCTCGTTAAGATTTAATTAAAATATATCTTCTGTATTAAATGTGATGAGTGACAGTTGCAAAGTAAATGATAAAAAGACAGAGATTTAAAATAAGACAAGTTCAAGGCGATAAAAACCTTGTAAAAGCGAATATCACGAGCAAATGCCGCATCATAAGCTGTGATGCGCGATCGATGATACGCTTCAGTCGGCAAGTTCTAAGTACGGACAAGTCAGAATTCTAATTAACGTCGTCACTCAACATCACTGTCAAATCGGCGATTAATTCGCGCGCCACGTTTCTGAATCGTCCCAAGCGAATTTATATTAGGCGAACAAGCAGCGATCTTACGAATTCATAAGGTATGCATTACAGTTGCGCGCGTGATCTTAAATTCCAGACACGTCCTTAATTCACGCAAGCCATTACAACACCCGCTACTACAATGAATGTGTTCCCGCTTCCATGCTTAAAACACCCAAATGATGAAAAGCATTGATCCGGTTCTCACCAATGGACGCACATGTGCATACGTTGTTATTATCTAAATTAATTTCCATTCTTAGAATATAGCTTATGCAAATCGAAGAAAACTAAGTAACATTTCTGACATAATTATAGCATTCTTATTATTAGGGCACTTATTATGGAATCTTTTAAAATAAACTCTATGATCAAAATTATTCCATCTTTCTTAGGAAGATCTTCCTTAGGAAACACAATAGAAATCTAGAAAAACAATTAATAACTAAACAATTTCGATCGAAATCTATTCCAAATAATTCCATAATTTAATATATCTAGTTTTGATTCTAAAATATCTATCTTGAACTCTAGAAGTGGATATGCGAAAAAAATGCAATATATATCATTTATCCTTTGATCCGATTTCCATCAAAGGATACATGTGTAGGTATACAATGTTATTGTTATTTAAATTAATTTTCATTCTTAAGATAGCTTGTATGAATCGATAAAAACTATCTGACAAACAAACTAACTTTTCTGACATAATTATCATCCTTCTCATTATTAATTTCGATTCTAAATTCTAGAAGTAACGCAGAAGAAATGTAATAATTTATCCTGCACATATAAACTCGAGAATATTTCATTTCCCTGAAAACTCGTTGCCATTGCTTCCTGCGAATTCGAATGCAGTGCTTATCAACATTCAAATCGCTAATTTGGTACACAGTGAGAAACACACCGCGGAATATATTCTATCACGATAGTAAAACGTATTTACAGATATCTATTCATGTATACCAATGTATTATACGTAACATTTCACTGTATGTGTGCAGCAACTTAGATATGAAAATTCGACAGTTATAGAAGAATACAAACGTACCAAGTAACATACGTTCGATATTTAATTCGTCTAGCGTCACGACTTTTATACGGTTCCGTTTCCTCAAATAAAACGAAACCAACTGAACCGTAAGTTCAACATAAAATTGACATATATCCAGAATACAACACAGAGACGTCATTCCGCCCCGTCGCGAACATTCTTAACACGTAATATGAGTATTGTATTATGAAACAGCAACGAAACGAAAAACGAAATCGTTTTCGTCCTCACCTTGTTTCGTATTCACGAAGCTTAGGCACCAATCTGATACATCGGTAGTTTCGCATATAAAGACAGAATCGGCGGGTCAGCAAAGAACAGTCCGAAGTTTTTCAGCGCACGTTTAGCAGCGATATTAACATCAGCAAAAATGAGAGAGACGGTAAAACACTGTTAAATATCAAAGGAGCAATGATAAACCAAACCCGTGAGTTAAATAATCTTTTAGAAGATAAATGCCTTTTAACATAGTCTAGCTGGATTTTAAATGCTTATATTCTGTGTGAATTTATATGTATGTTATATAGTCCTTTAAACTGCGAGCCGAAATGATTTTTCGGTCTTGAAACGCAAACTCCATTAAACTACTGCAGTAACATCACAAGTTAAATTGACTAACAATTTAACAATCCGATGTCCATTAACATCTTAGAACGATCTTAGTAATGCTGAATGACATATTAAAATCTATAAATAATTTTATTGCGAAAAATATTACCTCGACCGGGGTCAAACTCGGATCTCTTGTATTCCATACAAGAGCGTTCTAAGTCTTTAAACCACCAAAGGATGAGCATCGAATTGTTAAATTGCTAGCAATTTAACTTGCGATATTACTGCAATAATTCAATAAAGTTAGCGTTTTAAGACCGAAAAATCATTTCGACGCGTAGTTTCAAGGACTACAAACGTAATATATAAATTCACATAGAATTATACAAACACTTAAGATCTAGCTTGACTGTTAAAAAGCATTTATCTCCTATTGATTGTGTACTTATACGTACAGTCCTATGAAATTCTTTAATATTAATATTAAAGACTTTAACATTAAATAACTTCTGGTTATTTTTAACTTCCATATGTATCAAAATCAATCCATTTCTGTAATTAGTTTCAAAGTCATATCAACGTTAATATACTTAGTTAATAGAAGAGAAGGTATTATGGCCAGTGTATTGTGGCCCCTCTTAATCTTCGCTATTAAGTGGCGAATTCTAGCGATTATGGAATTATTTGTTCAGTAGGTTGCCGTTACATTATGACGCTAATATATCAATAATCAATAGCCAGCACTTATTATAATGCAATTTTTTAATTTCAAAATGTTTCTGAAATACATTTTAGCTTTTTAAATTTAATTAAACCTACTTCCTTATTTTTCTTAAACTTGAGCGTATTATCACATTTAAAAATGTATGCAAATAAATGTATATATATTTTTTTGTTAATGTTAATTTTATAACCAAATATTGTTTTCTACACAAAATTAATTTTTTAAGACTATTTTTATGAAAGGCCACATTACCACTCATATTTTTCTTCGAGTCATTATGCAATGTCATCACATTTTTATTAGTGTTCTAAATAATAAATAAATTTGTAACTTTGAATCCAGAATCAATTTAACAACTATTTGACGAATATAATTGTCAAGTTTAAATTTAAATATTGATTATTAACAAAGTTATTGTATAAAATGTAACTGGATGCCATAATACTATCTTCTCTATAAACTAAATTTGAATCAAAAGTACATTTTTCTGAGTTAAATTATTTAACTCCATTGTTTTAGTTACACTAAGTTGAGGTCATATTAAGTAGAAGTAGCAGTAAGATTCATAGAAATAATTAAAAATAATTAAAATTGGGTATAATTAAACATTATAAATTTAATAACGTATTTCATTTAGTTCCATCAAAAATTCGAAGCGTTTCTCTCACTGCCGAAGAACTTTCGTGAGTTAATCTCATTGTTTTAATTATAATAAATTAAGATCATATTGAAGAAAACAACAGCGACTTGTAGAAATAATTAAAAATCATTCAAGTTGAATATAATTGGTTATAATAAATTTAATACTATATTCTCCATTTGTTTCTTGCAAAGATATTCGACGCGTGTATTTCTCTCGTTACCGAAGAAACTGTTAATGGTCTCGTTAAACAACGGATCTGGCACACTAAGGAATATCGTGAACAATATGATCGCCAGATAATGATAGTAACGCAATAACAGTGCGCAAGTGCTTTTGCCAAGAGTTCTGATCCGCTGCTGGCGAAACGGCGGAGATATATAGATAATTGCTTTCCATCATGAACAAAATGTTCGCTATAACGATGAAATATTATTTACGAGATCTGAGTATTTTAATAGGCAAAAGTTATAAAACGTTTTACATTTTTACGATGCATTCTATTTGCTAACTAAACTAAAACGTTTTAAACTTCTGTACGAAAAGATTATAATATATTTACTTATTTTATTTTTCGTCCATTTAAAATACGTAAATATGTATAAAATGTGCTTTAAATAGATGAACATTGTTAAAAAGGAACAACTTTCGATATTCGCGAAATAAATAAGCAGACATCGGATAAACGAATCGGAATGAAAATAACACTCTGGTTCGGACATTCGAGCGCATGTCACATGCGCCTCTCTTTATTTAAATTAAATTGATTCTCTGTACTTTTTTCCAGCTCATCCTCGTCCTCCTTTATATCGGACTAGCGGTGACATCAGATTTATCAGGGTATAAGCCCAGGGGTTGGCGTCCTAATGGCCGGCATTTTAATCCCTACAACAATCGATTGCATGCGTATTACGATGCTCCGGGATTACAAAGCTACGGACCCCAGGATACCGCAGCTATCTATCGCGACCCGTTACTCACCACGACCACGACTATACGGCCACGAACCACCACTGTAAAAACCACGACAACACCTCGCAGCAGGGAACCCACGACAGCGCCGAACGAACAATCCGAGGACGATTTCGAGACGACGAATCCGGCTCTAGCCATCGCGAATTCTTTCGCGTTTAATCGGCCTGTATATGTCTACAATACCTTTCCTTTTCTACCGGCTCAGATTATTGTATAGATAATAATACAAAAACGAAGATTATATCTGTATAGTGAAATAGACATTGAATGAATAATGAAAATTTTTATCCCATCCACTGATGTGTATATATTTATATTAGAGATATATAAATCATTGCTATGAATATTTATATATGTATATTTACCACATTGAAAACAAAGTTACGAAATTTGAATAAATATTTTAGATAATACCAATGGGACCATTTACTTACAGTAAAGAAGTATTTGTTTAATTAAATAAAATTATATTTAATTTAAAAATATCATTTTTTTAATTCAAATAAATATTTAATTTCTGCAATCTTATTGATATACTATCTAAACAAATATTTATTCAAATTTTTCGTAAATTATTTTTTAGTATAGTGATATATACAGGATGTCCCAAAAAAGTCAGGTCACCCGAATAAAATATAAGTTTTACAGAAAAGAGTTGCAAAACAAATGTTGCAGGGTTCAAAAAGATCTATTTACTGATTGTATTAATTTGATCTTGGGTGTCGTCAGATCAAGGAATATACCAATCAGATGCAAAAGCTCAATGAGCGATTGTGCTTCTGGTTGTAGTGGCTGCGATTGATTTGGACGCTTTTCAGTACTTTTATTCTTATTTTACGTCTAATAAACGACAAAGACAGAATGATGATTACAAAGCACTTAAAATGTGTGAGCGTCCAAATCGATCACAGCCTGTATCTCGTCAGTGAATTAGATAACATTCCAAAACGTTCTCTCTGGCAAAAAATTTTATTCGAAATATATAATACACGTATACTATAACACGTCGAATAAAATTTTCTTCGAAGAAAACATTTTTTAGAGCGTAACTTTATTGAGTGAAAAATATATATTTTAAACATTTAGCCTTTTAGGCTTACTTACTCTAAACAGTAATATACGAAATATACTTTACCAACAACGGTGTATCAAGTTCACATTAAAAAAATCTTTACTGACAGAGCAGGTATTTAGACATCTCCACGGAGCAATTTTTAGGCAACTCCTTTGTTCACGTTGTGGCGGTGTGAGAGGCTGGCGGCAAAGAGAAACCTAAGAGAAGTGGCAGAGGCTATGCCAGCCTTTTTCCTGTTACGTCGAAATCGCCCGTACACTACCGCCATCCATTTTCAGTTTGGGAATTACGTGACACACATTTTCTGACACTATCGATAAAATCGGATCGAAAGTAGATGTGGTTCGTCTCCGTACTAAATCCTGAGGATAGAAGCATACCGACTATCCATAGGAGGGATAGTTTAATGAGTCATTTGCTTGAACGAACAAATTTTAATTTCGCATCTCCTACTATGTAAATAAAAGTTGTTGAATTTTAATAAACGAAATTGAAGATTCAAACAAGTTGATTTAGTGAATTTTGTCTTATATATAATATTTATCTTATATAAAATTATGAAGTTATGTGTTTCGTTATGCAAATTTCAGCCCTTTTTACATAATTATTAGTATGTATCAAAATCTCTATAATTTCTAGTAATTATAGAGACTTTTAATAAATTGAATCTTTTCTAAACATATATTGTTAATTTAAGGTATAATTTAGCAAAAACGAGCTGTAGAGGCCCTCCACCACCCCCGCCAATTTTATTGGCGGTCCTCTTTTTTTTGTAAGTATACTCACCCATAAAACAAACGAGCTACTAATAAATTTAGTAGCCCGTTTTTGCAGGTAAGTATATCTTTAATTTATTTTGTTATTTTTATATCTAATTATTTTATTGTATTCCACTAATGAAATTATAATATCTTTTTTTAATATTATTCTTTATTGCATTATCCTTTATACAATTAATATTACAATTATAATACAAATTATTTATAATACAATATACAATTATCAATGCTGTTCAAAATATAATAAAAATGATAATATAATATATATATAATGATATATAATATAGAAGCATAATTAACAAATTTTAGTAATGCGAAATTATACGAAAACGTCGAAAATACATACGATAACACAAATTTTTCTAAACCAATGTTTAATGAAATATTGAAACGTAGAAAATAATACTAACAACAAGATCATATTTACTATTAATTATTAATTTACGAATATAAAATTTAATAATATCGCGATAAAAAGTCATTAATATATTTATAACAACACTTTCATCACGTTCAAGATAACTATCTCAATATCAAAATCCCTCCACCTTGTGATACGCTGTTTAGTTCGATACACAGTTATTCGATACAAAGAAGAACAATCTTCATAAGGAGAGTGAACTTAAACTTTTATTCTGATTCTACATAAAATTCATAAGATCCATTTGCAAAGAAAAGTTAATTCATCAAATACCAGTGATTTTGTTACAGGAGGATGTGAATCTCGAATTTTTCAAACTACTTACGATAGTAATAATTTTGGCAAAGAATGTCAATTACAATTACTATATTTATCATATCTTTAATATAATATTAAAATTCGCGAGAAAATATGTTCTGCCACACATCACTAAAAATCATCCCTTATTAAAAATAAACGAATAGAATGATTTCCTTATGCAATAGTTGGTTACGAAGAAATATATTTAATAATAATAAAATACATGCGTTATTATAATTTTTTATATGTATGGGTATAAAAGTTTCTCGGGTACCAACTGTTCGAGATAAATTGAACCTGCTAATAATGGGATTTTTTAAAAATTATATACTTTTATACTAAACAATTTATTATATAAAAGTTAACAACTCCTTATGTTGTATTTTGTACTTTCCAAAAATTTAATTATTAATATCTCATTAATATGAGGGTACCCATTTGACTTATCTCGAATTTTTTTTTATACCCACATAATTAAATTTTTGTACTCACGACAACATTATTTTAAAAAAAATAAAGCATTTTGATAAAAATTATCTAAATTAAAAACCAAAATTTATTAAATCTTATAATATCGTATAATCTTATAATATAATATCTGCATATATTTTATCATAAAAAAGTATATATATATATATATATATTATATATATATATATATACAACCTAAAAACAATTTTTTAAATAACAATTAGACAATTAAATATACACATTCGTAATCACATTTTTGTTAAAGCAAAAAATAAGCAAATTACTTGTATAAAATTTAAATTTATTTACTTAATAATTTGGATTTAAACAAATAATCATTCTATCCATATTAATCATACTAAATTCCTTCGTCATTGAGATAATCTATTACTAACATTATTACTAGTGGCAGAACATTTTGTAAAATTAAGAAAGCGATGAAAATTGTATCCTAAAATATATCACTGAATTAATTTCGCAACTGAACTTTAAAATATGTGTAGCAATTGTTATTGAATCATTGATAAAATTATTACTTCCAGGAACTACGAGAAAATCGAGATTAATTCCGATCTTATACAAGAATCTCCAACGGAACACCTAAACTGGACTTTACGGAAAGCGACGAGGAATAACTCTCCATGTGAAAATAATTACGACTTTATCGATATAAACCACGTAATCAGTAACATCCATCTGACGCAAAGGATAGCAATGAGATCTTTGTATATAATAAATGTATATAATAAATTGTATATAAATTAATCACTAAGATATTTATAAGTTATAATTCTGTTCTAATATTAAAAATGTAAATGTCAAAAAGCAAGAAGTTAATATTTAACTATTGCTTCAGTCAAAGCTCCAATCTTTATGATTTATTTAATAAATATGTATACCATTATAAATACGAAGAAAAATTGACGATTTTAAACATCAAATTTTTAATTAGAATTCACTTAAAATTATTAATAACTTTTTGATATTCAAAATAAAATAATCCAAATTAAAAAAGTTTCAAGATAAAACATTTGTTAAATTTGTGAAATTAATAAACAATTCTTGTTATCATATGTTTCATCGATTTCGTATAATTTACAATAAAGTAACAAAAAATTTGATTTACTATGACAAGATAAATGCTGTTTGTATTGAATAAATATTCAATACTGGTATACATATACATTCCAATAAATATATAATTTATTAGCAATTATTATGCAAATTATAAAAGTAAATATGATGACATTTATCTGGACATAGTTTACATAAATTCTATATTACGTACCTATTATTATCATACATATATTTATTTACAATAAAAGTAATTACGATATTAACGCGTTACATAATTTGTACATATATAGAATTTTACAAAAAAGTTTAATTTTAGGGGAGCTGAAAAGGAAATGAAATTTAAAATTAATTTAAAATTTTATTTAATTTTTAATCCCTCCTTTCCAATTATTAAGTATACACAGATAATGTCTATGTATCTACCTACCATATTATATATATAGTTTACTGTTTAAATTTATTATGTGATATTTTTTAATTTAATTATATTTATTTTTTATTTTAAAAATAAAATTTAATTACCCGATCGCGAAATTTATTTAAGTATCATTTAATTTGTAATAATTTAATTTCTTAATTTGGAATAGTTGTGTTTATCTCTATCTATCCATACATATTGTATCTATACCTATACAGTCCCTACCTACCCATATTTTTATTTATTTGTTGCCTATTGTTTGCCTATTTGAGTATATCTACCTCCACTCGTATATTCCTACCTATACATTATCTACTTCATAAGCAATAACACCGCGAATATATGTGATACGTTAATGAATGCATTCATCAGAGAAAGTAGTTTTTCAATTGTTGTAAAAAATTCTTTAATACGATTTGGTTTGGTTCCTTATAAATTTAAATGTATAAACCAATCATGTTGAAGAATTTTACAACAGTTGCAAAGCTGCTTTCTCTGCTGAATAGAGAGCTAACGCTTAACCATCTTCTATAGTATGCTGATAAATTCAACGGGATGACCTAATCGCGATCATAATAATAATAAATAAGTAATAAGTAATTATTAAAACAGGCTTTCAATCTTTAAAATACAAAAAAAATTAACAAATAATTATTAATAGGGCTAATGAGAGTCAACATGGATAATCAAACGTAAGTTTTGTAGATTAAAAAAAATCTACAAAACTTACACTTGATTATCCGCGC